TTTGAGGTGTTTTCTGTAATGTAAACCATGATGATTTGAGAAACTTTCTGGAGAATAAAAAGAAAAGGAGAAAAGATGTCCTGGAGGTAGATGGCTACTGCTGTCACATCTTGGGCACATTCCCAGTGTGTGAGTTCAGGAGCATACCTGATTTTGCCTCTGCCCTCTGCCCTTCCTCAATATAATGTGAACATTTTTCCCAAATGGAATTTTTAATGGACTTTTTATTGATCAATCCAGTCATTCTTTTCAAAACACCATTAAAATAGGTGATACAAGTTTTGCATCCAAGTGTCAAAGCATTGCTTCCTGCTTTGGGTCCCCATGTCTGGGGAGAGACTCAGCTCATTAATGTTTGACTGTGATGGTCTACAGAATGACTCCCTAACACAGTGATCCCTGAACTTCACATTGTGTTCCAACTGCATAATTTTCTATATCCAAGTACCACCTATATTATTAACATATTTTCAGTGGGAAAGTGGTGCCAGCTCTATGCTCCATCTGTGTAGGGCTCGCTCTGGGTGTGATGTGAGTGTTCAGGCCCATCCATGGCACCCGCCCAGAAAATGAGACTTTAGGGACACCTCCAGGCCTTGTTCTGGCACTGTTAAATGAGCCAGCTCCATTTGAAACCCATAGTCTTATCTCTAGAGTGAATGAAAGATTCTTCCTGGTAAGGGAACATTGCCTCTGAATGATTATGGAGGCCTGTGTTTGCCACCTCTCTGTGACCTCAAGTGGTTTTCTTTTCCATGCTGTGATGGGGCAGGGTTTAGCATTCTTTCGCCTTCCTCATCCCTAACAAAGAACTTTCAGTACTGTCATGGCTGTGTCATGAATCATTCCCTTAATTTCCAACTGTTCCTCTCTCCCTGTCGTAGAAGGACTGCAAGTTGACAGAGCTAGGCCACGTTGATGACTAATGAAAACCTAGTGACCAAGGTGTTCCATTCCTTGTTGCATTTTTAGAATGAGAATAACACAGGAAGTATAAAGGTGAAAGCAGCTCCCAGATGGCCTGTCACAGGCTGGAATCGTCAGACAAGTTTCGCTTCCTTCCTGGATTACTTTTCCAGGTAGACACGCTTATGAGCTTATGTGGTAATAGCTCTCAGGGTTTGGGCCAAGCTACCAGGGATTTTATGCCTCAATTTAGTGTGTCCTTAGGGCAGTTTTTAAATGTTGGGTGTTGCTCCTGATGTGAAACTCTTGGCAAATAGTAGGCATGGAACTTGCTAGTTGGTGGATTGATTGATTAAACAGTTTTGAAAATATCCACAAGTAATGGTTTTTATATGTTTTGATATAATATAACTAGATGCTGGTTAGAGCAAGGCCAAATATAAGCCAAGATGCTGAGATTCTGGTGGTGGAGAATTCATAATAATAACTAAAAATCTACCCCCAAAAGGCAGGACCTTGTATGAAGAAAATTGTTATCCTTGCTGACACCTGTTAAAGAAGGCATGAATAAATAGCAAGATGCTATTAATAAGTTTAATAACATTCTAGCCCAAAGCCCAGTGGGAATGGGGGAGCAGGGTCTGACTGTGTTGCTAAAGATCTTCTGTAGATAAACATAGGCAGGACATATCAAGAAGTCTTTGAAAAGTAAAAGTATGCTTCTAAACTTAAAATGGGGTTACATCCCAATAAACCCATCATACATTGAAAATATCGTAAGTCAAAATTGCATTTAATATGCCTAACCTGCCTTGGTCGGTTCTGCTCAGTAGTTAGAGCATCGTCCTGCAGACTAAAGGGTCCCGGGTTTGATTTTGGGCACAATGTACCTTGGTCACAGGCTCATCCCTGGGCCCCGGGAGGGGCGCATGTGGGAAGCAACCAATTGGTGTGTTTCTCTCACATCAGTGTTTCCCTCCCTCCCACTCTCTCTCCCTTCCACTCTCTCTGAAAAGCAGTGGGAAAAAAATATCCTTGGGTGAGGATTAGAAAATAAAATTTTAAAATATGCCTAACCTACCAAATATTATAGCATAGCCCAGCCTGCCTTAAACATGCTCAGAACATTCACATTAGCCTACAATTGGGCAGAATTATGTAACAAAATGAATACGCTATATATTACTGGTTGTTGACCCTCACCATTGTGTGGCTGACTAGGACCTGCTGCTGCCCAGCATTGCAAGAAAGGAACATACCAAATATCACTAGCCTGGGAAAAGATCAAAATTAGAAGTATAGTTTCTACTGAATATGTATTTAACGCCTCCATGAAGTTGAAAAATCAGAGTCAAACCATTATAAGTTGGGGACCATCTGTATATTGTGGATCTATCTACAGGTACGATTCTAGAATGAGAGTAGATAGATTAATGGGAGAGCTCAGCTCATGAGCACTCCCCCCTCGGAATAAGAATTTATATACATCAGCCCGGCCAGGCATGGCTCAGTGGTTAAGCGTCGACCTAGGATCCAGGCGATCAGGGTTCGATTCCTGGTCAGGGCACATGCCCTGGTTGCGGGCTGCAGCTGATCAATGACTCTCTCATCATTCATGTTTCTTATCTCTCTCTCTCTCCCTCTCCTTTCCTCTCTCTGAAATCAATAAAGATATATTTAAAAAAAAAAAAAAGTATTTATATACATCAAAGATGGCATCACATTACAGATCATTTGGAAAAGAAGCTGGTTAGCCAGTGCTTCAGGAATGAATAGTTGAAAGAAACTCTAGGTCAACTAGAAGAAAAATACAAGTGAATATGACTTGGAACACAGGTCTCTGTAAGCCTAAAAGAAGCTACCCAAGAGAAGGAAAAGGAATTGCTTTGACAGTTAAAATGTTAGGCCCTTTATGTCAGTCACCACCACCCATCACCTTAAAAAGCAAATAGCCTGGGAAAGGGTTCCAATTCTTCATAAATGAGGAGCTTACTGGAAAATTGGCCAAGAACAAGGCAGATGACCAGAACTCACAGGTGCCAGGAAGCACAGAAGACAGAGCCCTCCAGCCATTGGAGATGCGGCCGGGAACAAATAGGAGCCCATTTCTGTGTGTGCGGTTGTTGGGTTCCAGTTAACATTTAGCAAGAATAGCATTTAGTATGAACCACCTAGACCTGGAGACCCCCACAGTTGCCAGGATTTGGGGTTTATTTTTATCTGGTGGTACTTATGGTGTTTCACTGGTAACACAGGAACCCAGCATTGCATTGTTGAGAGTCAGGTAAAATGGGTGGTACTTCACAGCGGTGGGGTTATTATAAGTTGGTTTTTCGCTTTAGGAGACAGTGTTTGACAGTTTACCACAAACCTGTAAAATGCTCATTTTCTTGACCCACTGGTTTCACTTCTTAGGAATTTGACCTTAAAAGATAAGATGTTAATAAGATTTGTATATAAAGGGTCATTTTAATGTTATTTGTGTTTTTTAAAAGTTAAAAAACATCTAACAGTGTAGAAATGTTCAGATTATATAGCACCTGATAGTGAATTATCACACAGTCAAGAAAGACCATATCTCCATAGATAGATGACATGGGAAGAGATGCTCCTGCTTCCGTCCGAGCAGTCACAGGCAGGTCCCAGCTGTGTTTAGAGTGAGTGTAGGCACATGTGTGAGTGAGCATCATGAGAAAAAGAGAAAGGTGGAGAGGAAATACAGAGATGCTAAATGTTGGCTGTCCCTGGAGAGTGAGATAGCAGAATTTTATTTCCTAGTCTTTACTTTGTGTATTTTCTAAAAATTTTAAATGAATTTATAATTTTTTGTTTGTTTGTGTTTTGTTTTGTTAATCCTCACCTGGGGATATTTTTTCCATTGCTTTTTCATAGAGAGTGGAAGGGAAGGAGAGGGAAAAGAGAGAGAGAGAAACATCTCTGTGAGAGAACCACAGCAACTGGTTGCCTCCCGCACATGCTCCGACCTGGGGCAGGGAGCAAATGCAACTGTACGGGCCAGTGCTCTAACCATTGTGCCACACCGGCCAGGGTGAACTTAATGATTTTTTAATTAGTTTTTTTTAAAAAAAAATCATAGCGCCAGCAGATACCTTTGTATTAAACTGCTGTTAATAGTCCTGGGACTGTGTTGGCTCGTGTTTAAGTAGGGATGTGTAGGTGTTTCTGGTTTGGTGCCCAGCTTCTTCCCAAGGGCTGCTGGGCCTCCCGCTCCCGCTTTCTCTCCTCCCTGAGCTCCTGGACAGTGGTGGGTGGTCTCCCCGTCAGGACTAGTGAACACCGCCTCCCTCCACTCCCAGTTTCTCTAGTGTAGGCTGTGGCTTTCACGTTTATGCTTTGATTCATTTCCAGTTGGTCTCATCTGCCCACCTGAAATCAGTATTTACATAGTTTGGCCAGGAATTGGGAGAAATTGCCATTGAGCCCAGCAGATTCTCCTCTCACTGACCCACCAGCCCTCAGTCTGGACACTTGTAGTTAATGGCTATTGTTTAGGAGCACCTGTGACTTTCTCTGGGCCACTTCCTCATCTCTTCTCTCTCTGGGGTTTTAATGAGGATATTCTCTGGGTAGATTAAATCAGTGTTTTAAGACTTGGGTTTGGTAACTCACAAAATTTCAAATGCATTTGAAAACAAAAAATACTTTATTACCCTTTAATTTCATAAGTATTGTGTAACCACTGTGTACCAGCCCTAGAGAATATGTGTTAGATAAGGCTGTCTCCATCCCTGTCCTTCCCAGAGCTTACAGTGTAGTGGGGAAGCTAGGAATTCAATAATTATACTCCAAAAAGGAAACACCAGTATGGTTAGGTATGAAGGAGAAAGATGGATGTTCCCCTGAAAAAGACACATGTGAGCAGAAACCATTTATGGAGAGAGCTGTGCTTGTTCAAGATAAGTATGGTTGGAAGTGGAATGTCTGCTACCTCTTATGGATGACCCTTTATTTTTATTTTCAGGCATTTCTCAAACCAATTAAGTCATAATCTCACCTCTCAGTTTCTTTCACAAAATAGCCATACTATCAAATGGAAGGTGGCCCGAGAATTGCTAACCTCTCTGTGTTTTTAGCCGTCAAGCTGAGCCACCAAAGAAGGAGGCAGCCTCCACCGGGCCACAGGTGAAGCGAGCAGATGAGTGGAAAGACCCTTGGCGCCGGTCCAAGTCTCCCAAGAAGAAACTTGGGGTATCAGTCTCCCCCAGCCGTGCACGAAGGCGTCGAAAAACATCAGCCTCATCAGCCTCTGCCTCCAATTCCTCCAGGTAAGGAGGCAGGCTGGTGTGAATGGCTGATTCGTAAACACCACAGGAGTGATATGCTGTCATGGCCTGGGGAAAAGTCAGCAGGACTATGCAGGCGTTTGTTGGTCTCAACTTACTGAGTAACTGGCTACTAGAGCGTCAGCAGCAAACTAGACTGGCGCTTAGAAGGTTGTTTGTTACAGCATCACATGTTGAGATCAGCCAGGATGCAGGTGACTCAGAGTGCAACACAAACCTGGCCAGTAAACCGGGGAGGGGGGTGTTGTGCGAGGAGAACACGTGTCCGGGTCACTCGGAGAGAGACAGAGTGGAAAACCCAGTGTAACAGCATGAGTCCTATCTAGTCAGTCCGTCTGTTTCTCCTGGGAGTCAGGGTTAGCAGCTCTGAAACCTGTGTGTACACTAGCTCTAGGGAAACAGGTGAGGAAGTTGTGGGTGGTGAGAGCTGGATCTCTCCCTGCCAGAGACAGGCATTACAGATCGGAAAGGGGGAGTCCAGGGGAGACTATATGCACAGATGGACAAATAAAGAAATACACATGTGTGCACAGACACCTGCACACACAGGCACACGTGTCCTTCCTCTGTACGCTGAAGGCCTGGGAGCTGTGTCACAGGAACAGTGAGATGCCCAGCATCCAGGTCTCTAAACACCATTCCCACCAAAAGGGCAATGGGACTACAGCATAGCCACAAAGGTGTCCGGAGGGCAGGTGTGTGTGTGTGAGCGTGGAGGGGTATATATCTGTGGTGTGTCTGTCTGTGTCTGTGTGAGTGTGGGGGCTATCTCTTTATGTGTGTCTGTGTGAAGGAGGTATGTATTTGGGTGGGTATGTCTGTGAGTATAAGGGGGTACATCTGTGTGTGTATCTCTGTGTGGGGGGGGTTGTATTTGGGAATGGGTGTAGCCATGTCATCTGGGCCTGCATCTGAGGACAGCAGGCCTGGCACCAGTGGGCAGGGCAGGGGAGGAGGAAGACCTGGCCTCTCTTCTCTCCCCCTGGATGCTCTAGGTCGTCTTCACGGTCCTCGTCCTACTCTGGCTCTGGTTCTTCCCGGTCTCGGTCCCGGTCCTCATCCTACAGCTCCTACTCTAGCCGGTCTTCCAGACACAGCTCCTTCTCAGGCAGCCGGTCCAGGTATGTCCCCAGAACTCATCAGGTACAGTGAACTTGGGCACCTCTGGGTGTGGCCCAAGTCATCCCAAGTTGCCTACGTATTCTTCCAGGTACTGTTGTTTCCAGAATAGTCTCACCAAGTATGTGGAGAATCAGCTGTGGGCCCTGGGGCCTCACAATTTTCCTGCCGGAAGTTGAAGCAGTAGTCAGGGGTTATAGAACAACTGCTGGTCACGGGGCAGCCATGGGATGCTGTGTGTAGGAGATGAGTGGAAAGACAGAAAAGATACCGATCAGAGCATCCACAATGGGAGAAACCTTGGGTGACTTCATTTAAGAAACAAGGCTGGTGAACTGTGGGAGGAAGCCTGAGACCCAGCTGGGAAACTGAGAAATTTTAGAAGTCAGAACATGTGATTACCTCGTTTTTCCTCTGTGTATGCAGAGGACACTGGGAGAGATTGAGGAGGCCCCATGGCATTGAGTCTCTAAGGTCAGGGACAGGACTGGAACAGCTATGACAAGGCCCAAACTACACACAGCAGGAGAAAGAACCATCATCAGCCTGGTGTGCCTGCCAGGCTCCTCCGCTGAATTAGGCACAGAAGGGCGGGGGCTCAGCAGCAAGCAGGAGAAAGTCGGTGGGAACCCAGCTGCCCTTGCAGGAGGTGGGCCCCAAGGAGGATGCTCGGCCTCCTCATCCAGTTCTAAAGAGACTCCACTCAGGACGCGCCCTGTGTCCTGAACCAGTTTCAGGATATTTTCAGTTTGGACATAATTAGCCATTTCCACAAAATTAAGTGCACTTTCTTTACCACTTAGCCTTCCCCTTGGCTTCTGTTTATACTGTACTGATGTCTGGCTGGGACTCTATTCCAATGTCTGTCCCTCAGCAGACCTCTTCCCTGGCTCCATGCCACCACTGGCTCCTGGGCAGGCCCATGTGGTCCCTCAGAACGTGAGTGCCACCTGTAGCACCCCGGGTGGGCACTGGCTCTGCAGCAGCCTTCTGAGGAATGGCAACCAGGGAGGAGGTTGCTCTGAGGGGGTGACCCCCAGGTGGTGATTTGGGGCTGCAGAATGTTAAGCTCCTTGGAAGTGAGCCTGGCATTCCTTCCTGTCTCCCAGCCAAGGGCAGCAAGTGTGAGGACAGAGGAGGAATGGGCATTTTTCCTCTGTGCCTCTGTCTTTATACACTGCAGCATGTATGACTGTAGCAGCCTGATCTTCACTTAGCTGTTGGTGTTGCTTCGCTGAAAGTGTCGAAAATCTTACACAACAGTTTCTAAGGGGAAAAATACAGCAAACCCATAAACCTTTCAGAGGGCTGCCTCCTTTGTGATGTCATGTGAATCCTGGGATGGTACAGGCAGCAGCCTGGCCAAGCCATGCCTCCTGTAACTCCACCCAGCCCAGCAACCCTTTCCCATCCTCTGACCCCTGCAACTTTTGTCCAAATGAGCTCATCACAATTTCCTTTAGCTGGAACACTCCCTGGGCCAGACCAATCTCTGCTTCAGAGCACTGCCACGTTTGTTTGTGGGCCTGTGCTGCTGGCCACTCTTGGATCCACCCTCACCACCCCCACCTTCCAGCCACCTGGGTCTCGGCTGCCCTTCTTGGCCTTCTGTTTCTCCCGTACTGCCATGGCCCGGTCAGACTGCGTGTTTCCTCGTTGGGGTTTCGTACACACACAGCAGAGCCTGTGCCCTTCCCATCCTGTCCATACAGCTCACATGCCCCATGGCTCAGGGCCTCAGAAGGACTCCCCAGTGTTGTCACCAGCCATCCCCTCAGCACTCTCCTTTCCCCTCTCGTGATGTATGTTATGAAATGACCAAGAACTGTCTGAAACACATTTTTATTTTTTATTTTTCTTTATTTTTTCTTTTGAAACCCATTTTTAAATCTGAGGCAAATAAGTAGAAATTCATGATGTCCTTCTCTGAATTTGTGACGGCGTCCCCAGCGTGCTCAGACTTGGGCAAGGGTGCTATGGTGCTCCCTTCTCACTCCTCTCTTTACTCCTAGGTCCCGGTCCTTTTCTTCGTCCCCCTCCCCGTCACCGACGCCTTCCCCACACAGACCTGTCAGAACCAAGGGGGAGCCAGTTCTGCCTCCTGGGAAAGCAGGGTAAGTGCCCAGTGGTCAGGCTAGGCTGGCAGGATGCAGCTTTCTCCCTCCGTCTTGTCACATATGTGGACAAGCCCATGGGAACTATAGATAGGACCCCTAGAGGTGGGCGTGTGGACCTAGGGGCCACATACAGTGCTTATGCTCCAGCACCCCTGCTCGGAGTATGGTAATGGCTGTGCTCCTTGGGGTTCCAAGTGAGTGCAGCACAGTGAAGTCACCAATTCCACTCTTACCAGGCAGGCAAGTGGGAGGGTGTTCCCCCCGTGCACTCAGCAGTGCATAGTCAAGAGCAGGCTGCCAAACTCCATCTCGTCTTCACCTTCTTTGCTGCTCCTGGAATGTGTGACTAATGGGAGAAGTTAGAAACATACAGACACCTAATTTCTACAACACCTAACATGCAGTATTTCCACCAGGCACTTCAGGGAGGTTGGTTAAATGAATCCTGCCATGTAAGGGGCAAGGCAGCCTCTTTGTGAGCAGACTGGGCCTGTGTGCCTGCCATGGGGCCTGTCCTTGCCATCACAGGCCCTGCTTCCTGACTTGTTCTTGTAGTTACTTGTTTAGTGGGGAAATAGCCTCACACCTACTGTGTGGCCCGTGTTAAAGCTACACACTGCAAGATTTTTATCCTAAATGGAGTGAGCTAAAAGGCCTCAAAAACATTTAGGAAATCCTGAGCAGCTCACGTTTTTCTGCATTTTATCAGCATGGATTTTGATTTGGCACAGATTTGATTCACCCCTGACATTGCTGATCAGCTTGCTTTTAACTAAGACTTTGTTTCCTGCTGAGATCACTTTGTTGACAAGGTCTCTGGAGCATGCTCTGTGCTCCATCTGAATCAGGAGTACTTAGCACCACTAAAACAATTGGCAGAATGTTTTCCCATGCTGATAGTAGAAAAAAGCTTTGGGGGCTGTTTTCTTGACTGCAGTGTGGTTTCCACATGTAAGCGTGCCCCAAGCACCCTCGAGGGGCCACCCCCACATGCAGGGCAGGTCTGGGAGAGCATGGTGCCAGCTCTTGGCTATTCTTGAGAGCCCTCAGATGAGCCATCTTCTTGCTGCCAATGCACCTCCAGCTCCTGCCTGTGAGGGGAAGTAGGGCTGGTACTCTGTAGCTTCCGAAACATTCCAAGAGCCTGGTGAGATACGGCATCAACAGCCCACCTGGCCTTCCGGTGATGCCCTGAGGTTACACCCTGAGGTCCTTGGCTGGGCCCCTCTAGCAGGTCTGACCTCTTTCCATCTCATGACACAGAGAGAAGGTGATGAAGAAGCCAGCCCCACCTCCAGCCCCACCACAGGCCCCCAAGACCACTGCCCCCACCCTTGAGCCTGCCAAGCCAGGAGACCCTCGTGAAGCCAGGAGGAGGGAGCGCCAAGCCAGGACCCCCCCCAGGAGGTGAGCACACCACTCTTAGGGAGCCTCATGGGGATTTCTGTTTCTTTGGTGCTGAAGTGGTGGGGGCACTTCTGGGCAAAACAATCCAGGCGCTCGCTTAACACCCAGAATCTTCCCTGGAAGGGGAGGCAGCGCTGAAGAGAGGTTTTTTGGTTTTGGGGGGTTTTTTTGAGAAAAAACACTTAAAATAGAACCCTACCCATTTCCAAGTCTGTGGTAATTTACTGGTTAAACATCTGTCTCGGGCCAGTGATTAGCCCTGGTTTTGAGAAGAGACTGTCTGCCCTTTGTCAATTCTGCAGAGATGTGAGTGGCAGTACTTTTGGTTGTGTTGCAGGCGGACCATCAGTGGCAGTGGCAGCGGCAGCAGCTACAGCGGTTCTAGTTCCAGATCCAGGTCATTTTCAGCATCTCTCTGGCCCCAGTCCCCATCAGCTTCTGCCCTTGCTCCTGCCTCCCAGTCAGGACCCAGGAGCCTTGGAAGAGGTTACCTCAGTGTGGGCATTCCTTCTCCCTCCAACAGCCTATGGCTAACAGCTGTAGCCATCACTCAGTGCTATTCAGGGTTAGCGTGGCTGGCTGGCTCCACCTGGACGAAGAGAAGAAAACAGACTTACGCTTACGTAGTAGGGAACCTGGTCCATTGGCTCCAAGCATGCGGAGGGGCTGAGATGCCCTCTGTCCCCATAAGTACCTGACAGGCTTAAAGAAGCCAAGGTGCTTCCAGTTCAGTGGGCTTGAGAGAGGCTGGCTTGGAGGCCTCATGCTCGTTTTTGTACAGAGGGGTGGTTCCTACCCTGGCCTGTTGTGCCTGAGGCAGCTGGGGAGAGGCAGTTTTTAAAAATCTGAGAAAATAGCAGAAAAGAATTCTATGTAGGTATTTAAAAGAAGACAGTATTGAATCAGTTCTTAGATTCCTTAAGTCAAACTTCCTCTTTTATTTCTAGGCAGCAGGTGGTTTATAAAAGATTTTCCCAAATCTTTCTAAACAGGTTTAAAGACCTAACCTTTAAAAAAAATCTTGGGCTCTCTTTCCCCCTCCCCTGTTCCAGCATCTGACAACCTTAGGAAACAGTGATTGGTGTTTTCTCAGAGCTAAAGAGATAGTACTCAGCAGGCACTGATGTAGCAGCTTTGTGCATTTCAAGTCCTTGCACAGCGTGAGCTGTGGCAGAACCAAGGACCCGTGAGATTGGCTGTCATTGTCATGCTTTCCTGAGACATGCTATGGGTTAAACCGGTCTCCCATCTAGCATCTGGTGTCACTGCAGGTTGAAGCTCTCCCTTTGTTGTACATCATTAACTGGGACTCTCAGTTCTTTCATCACTAACTCTTTGGTCACACTTAGTCATATGTCCTTGTCCAGCAATCAGCATGAGTGTCTCTATATAAGTGGCACTTTAAAACTACTGAGAGTCACCTCTGAAATTTCAGGTTTGGTAGGTACACTGTGTTCCTTAAAACTGGGAATTAGGAAAAGTAGGCATACAACTCTCCCCCCAGGCCAGTCAACCCACCTTTAGGGCCACGCAGGCGCAAATGGGTTTGTATGCATCTAGGTCCCTGAGCGTGAGCAGCGTCTCCTCAGTGTCCAGTGCCACGTCGAGCAGCAGCTCGGTGCACAGTGTAGACTCGGACGACATGTACGCAGACCTGGCCAGTCCTGTGTCCTCAGCCAGCTCACGGTCCCCCACCCCAGCCCAGACCAAGAAGGAGAAAGGTATGGGGGCTCCTTGTGTCCTGGGTGTTGTGACTCCAGAGGAGAGGCAGGCCCTTCGTGGAAGGTGCACGTAGCCTCGCTCAGCACTGCATGCAGCTGGTCAGACAACATGGTGACCTCCCAGTTTGTCCCTGAGCACACCTGCCTGCTTGATAATGCACCCTTCCACCAAGTGGCACTCGGGAAACCACTATGTGGTGTCAGTGACCATGACCGAGCATTTCTTGTTGGCAGGAAAATCTAAAAAAGAAGATGGCGTTAAAGAGGATAAGCGGAAAAGGGATTCATCCACACTGCCACCCAAATCCTCAAAATCTTCCGCAGGCAGTAAATCCTCCCAGCAACCCACAACCCCCCAGCAGGCACCCCCCGGGCAGCCCCAGCAGGGTACATTTGTGGCACACAAGGAGATCAAGTTGACATTGCTGAACAAGGTGAGGCTGTGGGCACACTGGTGAGAGCTTCAGGGAACCATGTGCCTCAGGGTCATCCTGGGATTGAGACCGAGCGGGGACAGCAAATGGCCGTTTAAACTTACTGGCCAGATATCACCCCTGCTCATCCACCTGCCTTGATGGACAGCTCTATGGGAAATGGGAGGGGCTCATGGGCACATGGTGCTATAGCACTTCCTGGGACGCTAGAGCATCCCTGTGGTGGGTGCTCTCCCTGTCCCTGAGAACACGTACCCTTGGCCTTCCTTCCTGTGCCTGGGTTGGCCAGTTCCCGCAAGGCAGCACTGGGACAGAAAACAAAGCAAACTTGACTTCTGTGAGTTGATGTCCACAAGGCCCCGTGGGACTGAAGGGGCGAGAGACTGAATTTGCTGGAGTCCTTTCCCCAGCTCATGGCCCCCACAGGGAGCACAGCATCTCTGCTGGCATATTCACTACAGAGAATAAAGGCCCCAAAACCATGGGCCCTGCTTCACTCAGGGCTGCATAGGTGAAGAGGGAGCCCAGAAGAGGGGAGCAGAGAGCAGGTCTGGGTGTGAGGACAGCACCATTCTGTTCCTTTCACTGTTCCGCCTCGTGGCCAGTAGCTCAGACCCTGCATCCTCACTGTGATCCCTCCCATCATTTCAGGCTGCTGATAAAGGAAGCAGGAAGCGATATGAGCCCTCAGACAAGGACAGGCAAAGCCCTCCAGCCAAGCGGGCCAACTTATCCCCAGACCGAGGTGAGCTCTATCCCTGCAGGGGCCTGACGGGTGGGCAGAGGGACCAGGACATCATCATCCGTTACTTAAAAATATTGAGGACCTCAAGGAACTTCTCTGACCTTGTGAATTATCAACATTTACAATACTAGGAGTTAAAACTAAGAAATATTAATATTTATTTTTAATTAACAGTGATAAGCCTCTATATTGGAGAGTTTTGGGTTTTTGTGGGTTTTTAATACAAATTTCTAATACCTGGCTGACAGACAACAGCTGGATTCTCATCTCTTGTGATAGCACAAAACACATGGGCTCTGGAAAACTCTACCCTAGGCTGTGAGAATGCAAAGGGTGGGCAGGGTCACGGTGTTACGTGAAAACAGTCTGACTGCTCAGTGGTCTGTTCAGATACTGACTCAGGAAACCTGGAACCCAAATTGGACTCCACTTTTGGGGTCTCCTGGGCCCTCATTCTGTGATGATCAGTGCCTCCCCTTCCTCCTTTCTCACCAGCTCTGCCCTTCTTCCTCTTCCTGTAAAAATGAGGAAGCTATGCTGAGCTGTAACAGCTTTTTGGAATGGGGTCACTAGCATCCAGTAAAGCTGCACCAGCCCTCTTTGCTGCCAGCTCCATGTATAACTGGGACCCTGGCCTTATGTTGTTGTCTCAGGTTCTCGGGACCGGAAGTCAGGGGGGAGACTCGGCTCCCCCAAGCCAGAGCGGCAGAGGGGCCAGAATTCCAAGGCTCCCTTGGCCCTGCCAGACAGGTGAGTGCCCGCCTGTGCCATGGCCACACCATATGGGCTCCTTTGCCTCGGGAAGGACCAACAGACCCAGAAGCAGCTGAGGAATGTCTTAGATCTGGAGGCAAGAAGGCAGCCCCACACGTCTCACTCTACCCCACCACTGGCCCTGGAGTGAGGAATGGCCTCAGCTCATAGTCTGAGGTGGGGGGGAAGTTGGGAGGCAATGATTGCAGCTCTTTTGTACCTTCCATTTCAGGCACAGAAAGTAGGAGAGTAGTTTTCTTTTCTCAAGAAGCTGGCCCTTAGTCCCTCTGCATCTGCACCATGCAATTCGGGGGCAAGGGTTGGGTGAGGGACGCAATATGGGGAGGGCAAAGGCAGGCACAGGACTCAGAGAGCTGTACAACCCCACACACACACCTGAGCCCCACGGTCTCAGGGGTCTTCCTAAGTCAGAGGTGTGGGCTTTCACCTCACCGCAGAGGGAGGTCACATACAAGGACCAGAAGCAGAAGGGACAAGTTAGCAGGGTGCTGGGCTGGACCCTGGATGCTGCTCTACCATGGGAGGGACCTCCATTCACTAGGGAAAGGATGCCTTCTGCCTGGCAGGTACAGCTTACAGGGTACAGACCCCAGCCTGGGCCTCGTGTGCCCCAGCTGGCAGGAAGCTCTTGGCGGAGAGGGACATCACTCGGACACCTCTAACAACCTCCCTCACCCTCACAGGAAGCGTCAACTGTCGCCACAGTCCAAGAGCTCCAGCAAGGTCACAAGTGTGCCTGGTAAAGTCTCAGACGCCGGTACGGCCGCCTCCACAGGCACCAAATCAGGGAAGGCCAGCACGCTGTCAAGGCGGGAGGAGCTCCTAAAACAGCTCAAAGCCGTGGAGGACGCCATTGCTCGCAAGCGGGCCAAGATTCCCGGGAAAGTGTAATGGGCCCTGCGGGCTCGGCTCCCCTACCAGAGGCAAAGACTCATGTGTTTTTATAAATAGGGTAAGCGCAGCCATTTTGGATTTTGCAGTTAATGTCTTATTTTGGCTGTGATTCTTTTTAAAAATTAAAAAAGAAAAAAAAAGTTTCTCAGCTGGAAAAGAAGCCACACACAAGTAATGAAGATGACGCTGAACCTCAGCCTTCTCCCAACCACACTGACCAGTCCCTTCCCAGAGCAGAGACAGACAGGCAGGCAGATAGCACCAAGCGAGGACATGGCACAGTTTTATGTAAATTTTAAGTCCCAGGTGCCGGGATCAGCCAGCCCATACATTTTTCCTCCCCGTCTTCTTTTCCTCCCTCTGCTAGTCAGGCGAGTTCGCGCCCTGCTGTGTGCCGTGTCCTCACCATGCGGCCCTCCTACTGTGGACAGGAACACCGAGTGCTACTGAGCAACCTCTCCCCCGTCCCTGCCCTTCCCCAGGATCAAAAAAATATATATATTCTTGACTAAAGTCTGACTGGGAAATATTTCCTGTCTTTTATTTTAAGCATCAAATTGTTTTAGTTGATTTGAAAATGAAAAAAAATACAGAAAAGACCAAAAAAAAAGGCCAAGGGTATTGTTGGGCGTCTGTCTAATGTGGAGGGTCTTTTTTTGAGGGGTCTCCTAAAATAAAATATTTTGATAAGCAGCTGTCTTGCCCTGGTGGTGCTGTTCGCATGTGTCTGGGCTCCACCCTCCACATGGCACCGGGCCTGGCCACCTCGTCACATCCGCTGGGCCCACCTGCTATTTAGGTGTCCCTGGCTGATGGAGGCTGAAGACATGGAGCTCCCCCAGAGGCCCCTGTGCGATTTCCTGGGAGCCTACATCCCGGAACAGGAGTTGCTCCCTTGCCTGTTACCCCAGGCACTCTGCCCTCTTGCCCTGGCCCCCAGGGAGCGCTATGCCTCAGTTTGTTTGTAGTGGAACTGGCCCTGGTGGGGCTTCATGAGCACCTATCCCAGCAAAGCGCCCTGAGCTGGAGAGGTCAGGAAGAATGCTTCTCAGGCCAGGCCAACATCTATCCCCAAAGCCAGTTACCCACTCAGAGCCTTTGATGTGCCATCTAGTCCCCACTGTGCACAAATCAAAGCTTGAGAAGCCCTGGGCCCAGGACCACTATATCAACTGGTTTTTTTGTTTTGTTTTTCTGAAATGTCAACCGTTCTGAGAGCAGCATCCCGCCGAGCCCCGGTGGGGCCACGACTGGAGGGGGGGGCCAAGTGTTTGCTCAGGGTCCTTCTTGGATTAAACTCAGAGTGGTACCATGGGCCTTGGGGTGCCCTACTGCCCTCGGGTTACCATAAACCAAGTACCATAAGAACTTGCAGACAAAAAGCTCCCTAGAGCCCATGCTGCTGCCCCCAGTTCCAGTTTTGCAGGAGGGCACTATGGGGCCAGTTTCAGGGGGCAGCAGCCTGTGGTTATCTGGTTGCGTTATCTGCAACCAGCTTACAGGGTGCATTCCACAGCAGTCTGCCCAGCAGCTATGTGGCAAACTGGATAGGAAAGCTTGGAGAGGACTAATGCCATGGGCTGGCCACGCAGCCAGGCCTCCTGAGTATACTGTTTTGCATTTCGTGTCCATCCCCTTCCCACAGCACAAGACACCAGATATCTCTTCCATCACGGCAGCCTCAGTCAAGTGTCTTCCACAATTTTTAAAGGCTTATCTGGTTTGCCATTAGGTTAAAGCCAGGTGCAAAAGGAACTATTTTCTGAATGAGTAGCTTTCAAGGACATGGAGTCAGAATCCTGGACACTTGAGTGCCAGCCTGTCCCTGTGAGTTCTGTGCCCTACGCCACTGGGCTCTGCAATCCAGCTGGGCAGTGACTTGCCCCTCAGAAGCCAGGAGGCCGCAGGTGAGCCCACTACGCAGGTCTCTGCACTCAGCTCTTCTTGCTCACCTGACCAGCCCCTTCTGTTCCCAACAGGCTGACCTGACCCTGACCTCTAACACCTATGCTGGAGCCACAGCAATAGGTCCCCTCAACCCAGGCTAGGTTTAAACTAGCAGCTTTCCATTTGGTGTGTGGAGTCATGGCTCACCTGGGCTAGGCTGGAGCAGGTGCCTGTCCTGGGAGGGGTGAGAGCCACACCCTGAGCCAACTTTTCCCCCTACCAAGGTCTAGTGGAAAAATCATTGCATGCCTGGCATCTGAGAAATGGGGGAGGCCTCTATTGTTGGATCTTTGCCTTCCAAGGAGCTTGGTAGTTAACATGCAAATAGTGGGAATAATTACTAGTATCTCAAGTTTCATCTCTGCCCACCAGACTGCTGCTCTTCAAGTGTCCAGACCACTGCAGGATCCCCTGCCCTCCAGTCCTCATTCTACCACTAGAGCGACTGCAGATGCTAACCTGCCCCACTGCTTGCCATTTCTCCCACCCTAGGGCATTTGCACATGCTGTCCAGATACTGGAACTCTGACTTGACTGACTCATCCGGTTCCTCTCAGCTCAGGCAAGCTGGCCCCACCCCTCAGTCCCTCCTTTGTCTGCTGCCACAGTGCTGTCCTCAAGCTGTCACCTTTCCTGAAGTATAACCCCGAGGAAGCGTTTGGCTCAAAGCTCCTAACACTGGCCCTTCTCAAGGGAAGGGGCCAGGTCTTGATTTCCATCTCCCAGTCTCGGGGTCAGGCCCCTGCTGTTTCCCTCAGAGCGTGGGCCTCCACCTGCCCCTTCTGCCCCCAGATTTGGCCTCCCTTCCCCAATCTGCCAACTCCCCAGCTCCATGGCAGCTCAAGAGCAGTAGTCATCCTCGCTCAGCAGGAGAGGCTTGGGAGCTCTGGCTGAAGGCCAGGCCCTGGCTGTTGCCCTGAGTGAACAAGCAGGGAGCCCCCACACTGGACAGCACCCCCTATGGGGCCATGGACAGGATGAGGTACAGAGTTCCTGACAGTGCAGTGTGGGAACAAGAAAACGGGGCTGTGTGATAGACTGACCACAGGTAGGGCTGCCTGGGGCTGTGATTATACAGGCTGTACTTGCAGGGAAGGGGGAGCCCATGTTGTCACCCCCACTTCACAGATAACAGCCCTGCTCCCGGGCCTCCCTTCAGGATGTGTGAAAACTTTAAGCCTGGAGCCCAGAGAACCTGGAGCAAACCCCTCCTGCAGGCCCACTTGGCTGCTTCTGTCCAGGCAGGGCTATAAGGGCTCCGAGCCACAGACTGGGCCACACTCTAGGCACCTGGTGTGTTTGTCCCTGTGTCTCCTGTTTTTGCCTTCCTGCCTTGGCCTCTGCCCTTTTCTCTCTCCCCTGCCTGCCTTCGGCCAGTCGCTGTTCCTGTATTTGTCTGTGACTCTGCACTTGTCTTCTTCGTCCATTCCTCCTGCATCTAAGTCCCCTCACACATCCTTTCTGCATCTCCATCCTCTTGGTTATGTCTCTGGGACTTGGGGGAGTGGTCATTGGGGGCGTGGTTCAAGTCCGGGACACCGCCTCCAGGATGCTGTCCAGACTTCCTCTGGTGGTGCCTTTCCACTCTTGCCCAACCTGGGACTTCTGCACTTGCCTCAGCAGCCCAAGAATGAGGCACCACCCCAGTCCGCCCTGTGCCCTCCTACCTCCGCCCTGAGGGACCCCGTACTCCCAGTCCCTGGGCTCTCAGTCCCTGAGCTGGCTTCCTTAGTGGGGGAAAGGGCACTGGCCTTTATGACCCCACGGAACTGCGCTGGGAGGGCCCGAGGCCCACCGTGAGGAAGGATGGGTGTGAAGTCTGGGACCTAGTTTCCTCCACCCAGTGCAGCACCCACCCACCCGCCTGGTCAGCTGTTTAGAACAGAAACCAGAACACAGAAGATACAGACACCCCACGGGGGTTGGCCAGGGCAGGGGAATGCCCCCCCTTCTCTCCCTGGACCCAAGCATCCTGTGGGGTGGGGACAGCCAGGAGCCCATACAAGCAACAGTAACCACCTTTTCATTTCCTAATTGAGCACCTGCGTGAATGCAGCTGGACTTATCAGCCCAAAGGAAGTGATGCTGCTTCCCAGTGGTCTCCCTTGGCTCCTCGGCTCCAGGCCTTCCTGCCACGCCAGCCTGGACCTCCTAGTGGCCCTGCATGGGGGAACATTGTTAACCTGTTTTTCCCATGAGGGAGTCTAGGTTTATCTCCCCTTTGTTCTGCCATATTAATGGAGCACCTAGGTGCCAGGGCAGATGTGTTGGGGACATGGTTCCTGCCCTCAAGGGGTTCACACTACCTTTTGGGGGCTACAGAAGGGGCTGGAATTTTTCAGAAACTACCGAGGGCCCCAGCAAGGAGGCAGGTCTCAGTTCACCCTAAGGAGGGTCTTTCTCTCGACCTGACAACCCACAAAAAACATCCTGGTAGAGGGTGTACTGGGCTAATTGTGTCCCCCCGAAAAATATGTTGAAGTCCTAGCCCAGGTACCTGTGAGGAATATGTCCTTATCTGAAAAAAGGGTTTTTGTAGATATAATTAAGGCATGAATCTTGAAATAAGATCATCCTGGATGAGGGTGTCCTGAGAAGAAGACAGACACATGGGTGGGGGTAGGCATGTGAACATGAAGGCCAAGGTTGAGTGATGAGCCTACAAACCAAGGACTCCAAGGATCACCAGAAGCCACGTGCAGCTGGAAGAGGCAGGAAGAATCCTCACTGAGACCGCAGAAGAAACCAACCTGCCAACACTTTGTTTTTGGACTTCTGGCCTCCAGAACTGTGAGAGAATAATTTTCTGTTGCTTTAATTCCCTGAATTTGTGGTTCTTTGTGATGGCAGCCCTAGCAAACTAATACCAAGGATGAGCTCCCCATTGCAGGAAGCATGCAAGCAGAGGGTGGATGGGTAGAGGCATTGTAGGGAGGAACCATCCTGGGGACTCAATGCATCTATTCATCCATCCAGCCATCATTCAGAATAAGCAGAGAAAGCAGTCATGACACAGCACCTGTTGCCAGGGCATTTCCATCCAGCCATTGGCCATCGCAGGGTAGGACCTCCTTGAATCCTCACCTGCTCCCCAGGAGGGCAGCTTAGCCCTGTTTACAGGTGCAGATACTGAGGCCCAAAGAGAGCAATTCCTTGCCCAGAGTCACACACTGCTGAGTGGAGGAGCTGGGAGAGCCCACAGGACCCTCAGCTTTCTCCAGGCCCTCCTCTCTCAGAGGGTCTTCATGCCCAATCAGGTTTGCAGTTTCAAACTTAAACACAAGGTGCTGCAATGGTATACACAGTGTGGCACCTGCCAGCAGGCGAAGAAAGACACTTGCCCTCCACCTCCAGACCCTCCTCAGCTGGACATTTTAGACTAATTTGAGAAGACCAGATAGGGAAAGTGCCCAGGGGACCCCCAGGCAGGCCCTCCCTAGGATGGTGTTCAAACCCCATTCAAAACTTTGCAAGATCTGGCTCCAAACTCTCCTTTTCAGGATAACAAAGGCACCCCTGGCACCCCCTTTCCAGCCAGCAGCACTGAGTGGGTGGGATGCAGGTGAGCTCCTGGGGCCTCCTTACATAAAGCTTCCTAGGATAAACTCCAATTTAAACTTTCCAGGGCACACCTTGACCTGTGTGGCTTAGTTGGTCAGAATGTCCTCCCCTACACCAAGAGGTGGTGGGTTCGATTCCCAGTCAGGGCACATGCCCATGTTTCAGGTTCAAACCCCAGTCCAGGCGTTTGTGGGAGGTGGCAGATCAATGTTTCTCTCTCCCTCTCCCTAAAAACCAGTCAATCCAATCAATCAATCAATCTAGTTTTCCAGGCATTTTCACCCCCTCCATTTCAGACATTTTTGCTTGAACTTTTGATTAATTAAAAACCCACAGATGCCCAAATACAGGGTGGCAAAAGTAGGTTTACAGTTGTTTGTGTGGAAAATAATGCGATAATTAATAAACTCTGTGTTTCACATATTCACAACTATAAACCTGCCTTTGCCCCACCCTAAAGAAACCTGAAGATGCTCACTGGCCCAGCCCCCCAAGTCTCTCCTAGAACTCCTCCCACCTGCAGGTAGAGGCAGACACTGGTGTTCACCTGTTGATCATAGTTAAAATATGGGACCAGCCTCATGTCCACTGACAGGACAGGAGAAAGCAACTTGGAGGAGTTGCTTTCCAGGTCCCCAGGTCCAGACAGCAAAAACATACAAGTGGAATTAGAGAAGCAAGCTGCAGAACACTCAGCAAAAACCCTTTACAGAATGAGAATGTTACATAAGCAGGACCTATTTTCAGCTCCATCCACAGGTGCTTAGCCCCAGGTAGGGTCCCTCTGAGTGGGGGAGGGAGGGTAATGATGTGAGAGGGGGTCTAGAGTAAGGGGTGGGCTTCTCGGGCCCTGGGCTGAGGAAGAGGGGACAGTCAGTGGGGACCCAAAGGGAGGGGAGGAGGAAGCAGAGGCTGGGCACTTCCCAAGGAGGAAGTGATGGTGCCAGAGGATTTTCCCCAGGTGTGGCCAGAGGTATAAAGGGCGCTGCCAGCTGGCCACGGCCAGGCCTGCCACCTGGTGCACCCCAGGACCGCAGCCAGGTGTGCTTGGGACTGTCGCCAGGCACACACCAGCTGCTCAGCGCCCAGCCGCCACCACCACCGCCACCCAAAAGATGGTGAGCCGCCTCGCCTCTCCCCACACCCCCACCTGGAAGGTGCCATCTGGCCCAGGACTGGCAGTTCCCTACGCTCCGAGCTAATGATGTTGGGATGGGGTCCAGGAAGCCTCCCAAATCTGGGGCAGGAGGGAGCCAGGACCCAGGAGGAGCTCTGGTTCACTGGGGAGTTTGAGGGACTAGCCCCTCTGGGCCTCAGTTTCCTCAACTATAGAGAGTGGGCTATACCCCATCTTTCCACAGGGAACAGGGCAAGCTGGGGTGGAAGGGAGGTGCCTTCTTCACTGGGCACCCCCTAACCACACACCACGTGTTTCAGCAGCTCCTCCCCGGCCTTCTGCTTCTGATTTGGCTATCTGCCAGCCTGGCTCACCAAGGCTCCCCATTCTGGGGAGGCCCCCACATCCACACCCATGGGACCCCACGCTGCTACTCAGCCGAAGAGCTCTCCTTGGGCCAGGCCCCCGCACACCTGCTGGTTCGAGCTGCCAAGTGGGAGCAGACTTTGCCTGTAGCCCTGGTGTCTAGCCTGGAGGCAGTGGGCCACAGGAGGTGGCAGAAGGGGCCCTCAGGTGGGACCCAGTGTCCGGTGCTGCAGCCTGAGGAAGTGCTGGAAGCCGACATCCACCAGCGCTCCATCTCCCCCTGGAGATACCGGTGAGGGCTGTGGGGCTCCCTGGGCACTAGGATCCCCTCTGTGTGATGTTGGGCTGCTCCCTCCCCTTTCTGGGCACTGGCTTCCTGATGAGCTCTCTGAGTCTCAGTGTTTCACCAGTTAAATGGGATAAGCATCCTGATCTCCCTCCAGCCAGTCCCCTGCCCCGGAGGGTGAGGCTCCATCAAATCAGCTCCTCCTTGCTACTGTTGTCTGAGACCTTAGCCCAGACCTTGGGTACCAGGGTCCCCTGGGAAAGTACTGGGGCCCCCATTTGAGCCCCTGCAGGGGTTGGACTGGGCTCAGAGGGCAGGAGGGCTCCTGGAAGCCCCCTACCCCAGCTTCTGTGCTCTAAGAGGGTACTGGAGACATGGGCAATCACCACTTATTGAGCACCGACTGCATGCCAGCCCTGTCGACTCCCTGCAGCCTGATGCCTCAGCTCTCACTCAGGCCAGGAGCATCCCTGAGCGTGTAGGGCAGCCATGGGGTATGACAAGGAAGGAGAAACAGGCTTGCTGAGACCCTCAGCAGGGCCTCACCAAGTCTCTCCTTGCAGTGTGGACATGGATGAGAACCGCTACCCACAGAAGCTGGCCGTGGCTGAGTGCCTGTGCAGGGGCTGCATCAGCACCAGGACCGGCCGCGAGACAACAGCTCTCAACTCTGTCCTGCTGCACCAGAGCCTGCTGGTGCTGCGCCGCCAGCCCTGCTCCCGGGACGCAACAGGGGTGCCCACGCCTGGGGCCTTTGCCTTCTACACAGAGTCCATCCGAGTGCCCATTGGCTGCACCTGTGTCCTGCCCAGGGTGGTACGGTGACCGCTGGCCTCAGCTGTCCCCCTGTGCTGTGGGCAAGGATTGCCTCCCAGACTGGACAGTGGGGATCTCTCTGGAGAGAGGGCCCCTCCTATTTATGTGTATTTATTGGTTATTTATATGCCCTGGGTGGCCCTGCTTCTGCTCCCAGGGTCCCTGGGCAGGTACCAGGGCTCCAGCCTCTAGTTTGAGGGAACAGTGGAGATTGGGCACTAGAAGGGCCAAGTGATCCTGTGCTAGTCTGCCCCCTCTCAACACTGTTACCCTTTCACACAAACAGTGGACAAGAAGGAACTTTAGTCTTCTTCTAGAACTTCTTAAAACAACAGAAAAGGTGTTCTGATGGCCCCCACCTTCATGGGCCCCCCAAACCCTTCTTCCCACCACCCCTGTATTTCTAAAACAATTATTTATTGTAAATGTAAATATGTCATTAAATTGATAACCCCCAGAGCACAGCATCGGATGGCAGAGACTAGAGTGGAGGCACCCTCCTCACCCTCATTCCTGCTTGGCCCTCACACCCAGGTGGCCCTGCAGGGGCAGCCACAGACCCCAGACTCTGGTGTGCCCAGAAAGGTCTATGCAAGAACCCAAGCACAGCAAGGGCAGGGAACGAGTTTGAATAGAGTGGAGCACAGTGTGCCCTGCTGGACTCCGTGGTTTCCACCCCCTGGTGATGATTCTGGGGCCTGGGAGGCCTCACTCCCACAGCCCAGCCATGATGTAGGCAGGCCCTCCTCTCCCAACAGGCCCAGCGTGTGGCCAAACCTATGCAATGACAGTGAACACCCTCTCCACCCCTGGGACATCCTCTCTGCCCCAGTGACAGGTACCTCTGAGGGCAACACCCAAGGGGCATCAGCTCAGGGGGCGCCTTTGCAGCCTGGGTGAGTGCCACCACCTTCAGGTATGAATCATGCTCCCCCAGCCCCAGCAGAAGCCCAGGCAGTTCCAAAGGCCACCTCATGGCCCCAGCACCCCCTTGGGCTTTTGTGCCCCACTGGCCACCTGGCCACCCGGCCTGTGCTCACTGCACAATGCACGTTACTGCTGGAGGCATGTAGTGAAAAGGCCTAGGAGTGCATCCTCAGCAGCTGTGGAAGGGGCCCTGGGCAGTCTGTGATGCACAGGCCCAGTCAGCCCTAAGGGTTGACGTGGGGCTGTGGGGTTTGCAGGACAGTTGTCAGCACCTCCCTGACCACGGATTAACACCTATTGTGTGCAAGTGCCCAGGAAGAGGGGTGACCTTTGTCTTAAACCTGTAAGGACTATGGAATCAGCACATATATTTACTGAGTTTTTATGTGCCGGCACTGGGAATGGAGCAGTGAACAAAATGGACAGATCTCTGCCTGACCACACATGGGTGACTGACAACCACAGAACAAGCAGTACAGTGCTCCATCGTTGGTGACGAAGGAATTAAGGACAGTGATGCAGGGAAGGGGCAGGGCTGCAATTCCAAACAGAGGGTCAGGGAGGCCATGGAGGCCTCCTGAGCAAAGGCCTGGATGGCCAGCCAGGGACCCGTGTTCCAGGCAGAGGGAATAGTCTATGCAAAGGCCCTGAGGGCTGCATGCCTGTGTCTGAGGGTTGAGGGTGGTCAGTGTGGCTGGAGCTGAAGAAGCAGGGAGTAACTATGGGACCAGGGTGTGGAGAATGTCTGTCCTGGACTGTGGGAGTCTGAGTTCTGAGTAGGTACTCAGAGGGTCAACCACAGTGCTGGAAATGGCCTGCAGGGGACAGGGCAGAGAGGTGACAAGTAGATTTATGAAGACGGAGCCTGATGGGGTGTGGGGGTGCATAAAGGGGTGTCAAGGGAGCCTGAGGTTTTATTGTCCTTCTGGAAGGCTGGAGTGGCTGTTTCCTGGAGCAGGGCTGGTATAGTCCTGGAACACTATAGGACCCCAGTTCTGAAAATAAGATTTGCTGAGAGCAGGGAAAACAGGAGGCAAGGGGTTTAGGGGCCTGTCCAGACTTTGGGGGAGCAGATGCCTGGGGAGAGCCCACTGAAGGAGTTTCCAGGCTGGGAAGTGAGCTGAAGCCAGACAAAGCTTGGGGGCCACAGGGGCTCCCAGCTGGGGAACAGGCAGTGCCCAGGAGGACCACAGCTGGCCCTGTCCTGGGGGTGGGCAGGGGTACAAGTGTCTGGCATGTGTGTTTGTAGCCTCAGGACTGGAGAGGCAAGGGCAGATCTGAAGCCCCCCACAGCTGGCCTGGCCATCCCGGGTGACAGCAAGGTGAAGGGGCACCAAGGTGAAAGTCTACTGGGTCCCCGGGCCCTCCCTTGCTCACCTGCTTCCCCTGTTCACTCAGCTGCTCAGATGGGGCTGGGGGCTCCAGAAGGAGAGTCGGCAGGTCCAAGAGGGCTCGTGGGGGACACACTCCCTCCTCCCAGGACTGGGAACTTCATTTCCAGAGTATAAACCCAAGCACGTGGAATTCCAAATACTGTATTTCATGGAATAGAAGATGCTCTGTGATTTCATGTGCCATTGAGAAGATGACAGGCTTCTGGGGATGACACCAAAAGAGGGCCTGTGGTTCCGCTGTGCAGGCAAGGGGGTGCCCTTGGGGTCTGGATGGGTCCCCCCACCAAAAAGCTACACAAGACAGCAGCAACTCAGGGCACCAGTCACGCGACCTCATCGGTCACTGGGACAGGGTTTTCGTGGGGGCCGCTGGAGACCCCTGACGCTGCTGCCTGGTCTTCCTCTTCGCTGGGCTTCTTGCGGGCCTCGGCCGGGGGCCGGGGTGGGGGGTTGCTGGGTGGCTGCTTGATGGTATTCCCCCCCTGTGGCCGCTCCTTGGGCTTTGACTCGATGGGAGTCCACTGCTCACCACGGGTGGCCGCCTGCAGAACACAGAGGGGCTGGGCCCTGGGGTCCAACCTCAACCTGACCTCACCCACCCTTGCACTCTCCCACCCCTACCAGGGTGTAGGGCAGGACCAAGTCTGAATCCAGTAAGACCTGAAGGGACTATGGCTCAGAGAGGTTAAGCAACTGGCCTGAGGCCACACAGCCAGGACCTGGCTCTGCCTGACCCCAAACTGGAGCTATTTCACCAGGTCAGTAGGGGCCCTGCAAGGGGGAGGGGACAAGGAATCCTTGGGTTTCTGAAAGAACCCTGGAGGTCACTTCCAGGTGCACATTCCCAGACTCCCCCCAGGAACAGGACAGGGAGGTCAGGCCAGCATGTCCATTGTGCTGAGTCAAGAGGCTGCCGGGCAGCACAGAGGGTGGGAGAGGCCCAAGAGGGTAACTGGGAGGGCAGGGGCCCACTTAGCCTGGACCCACCCTGGCCTGCAGCCTCCCTGAGGGCACCCAGGCCTGTTGGAGGAGGGGGTCACCACTGTCCCCATCACATGAACAAGGACACAGGCTCCAGGCCTTGGCTCGGCCTGCAGGCAGTTGCAGGGACGAAGGTATCAAGCATCAGCAGGGCTCACCACAGGTGACACCACTCACCAGCAGATAGATGACACTTGCTATGGCCAAGCAGGCTGTGCCCAGGATGGTAGCAAGCAGGAAGCCAGCTGGTACCGACAGTCTGGGGAGGGGGTGGGAGGAAGGGAGACTCAGAAGAGCAGTCAGAGGGTGTGTGCAGGGGATCCAGGTCTTGGGCAAAGGCTGTAAGATCTCAGCACAGCCTGGCCTGTGCTTGAGCATCGACCATGAACCAAGAGGTCACTGGTTCGATTCCCAGTCAGGGCACATGTCTGGGTTGTGGGCTTGATCCCCAGCAGAGGACATGTAGGAGGCAGCGGATCCATGATTCTCTTTCATTGATGTTTCTCTCTCTCTCTCCCTCTCTCTCTGAAATCAATAAAAACATATTTAAAAAATAAGATCTCAGTACAAAATAGACCATAAGTGTGCTGTCCCCGTGACCCTGGACTCAGGGGACACCTGGCCCTGCCAAGGCTGTGCTTTTAAGTTTGGGTCTCTGGAGCTGTCCTCTGCCTTGACTGTACACTTAACAATCTTGGGACCCTTGCTCTTGGCCCCAGCCACCATGCTGGGGGAGGCCCAAGCAGCTGCAGAGGCACGAGGGTGTTCTGGCATCTGCAGTCACCACCAGACACATGCATGAGGCAGAACTGCCCAGCTGAGCCCCATCACCCCAGGACCCTGACTGTTCCTAATTTAAGTTGCTAAGGTTTCAGATGAATTGTTATGCAGCAAGAGATGACAGGTTTAAAAAAACAGCTGGGCTGAGAGGGACCCGACTTGCTCCAAGGCCCTCCTGAGCCCGAGCAGGTAGGGACTCACCCAAGGTGCAGGAAGGACCGGACGTAGTAATTCCTGGAGAGGGGCCCGAACAACTTCACCACTTTTGTCATGTACTTCTGTCCGCTAGACCAGTTAAGGGAGGGAAGACAGATTGGGTTCTACTCAGCATCCCCCATGGCTCACCCTGCCCCAGAGGCTTCTCTCCTTTCAGGGACCATGAGGCCGTAGCAGCTGCACAGGCAGGCACCAGCCTTGGGTTTGCCTAGAAGGATAAATGGGCTGGTACTGAAGCTTCACAGGGACAGAATCAGGCTCCTGCAGCGCCCCTGGCCAAGTGTCACACCCTTGTAGGTTCCACCCAGCCCCTGGGATGAACCCCAGAGCAGGTGGGGGACTCACCATCTCTCCATGGTGGAGCCCTTTTTCCTCTTGCCCCGGGGGTACTCCAGCAGGCAGACGAACACTCCTGCTGCACTGAAGCCACGGTTAAGGAACAGCCCAGCTCAGCCCCTTTGCTGATGAGAAACATCCTCCTGAAGCTACGCAGTGGGGAACAGCCAGGCGGGGCTCAACATGTCTGGCCATTTGGCTGCCTGTCTTGGGTTCCAGAGGGCCTGGAATAGCCAGCCCACAGGGCAGCTGATAAAAGAGGGTAGAGAGGATCCCTGGGGGTGCTGGCACCTCCCACTCCCTGCCAGGTGCCAGACAAGTCACTTCCCTGCTGAGCGTTGGCTTCTAAAACTATAGCTGAGCTTATCCTGCTGAGAGTCTAAGGGGCCCAGGGATGTGAGCAGCACTGCAAACTGTGAAGTGCTGTACCCCCAGAGGCAGTGGAATCTCTATTCCCAGCCCACTAGTGTTGCCACGGGCAGTGCCGCCCACCCCGTGGGGTCTACAGTGGGAGGATACATGGAGTAGGCGCCGAAGTACCACTGGGTGAACTGGCCAGCAGTGGCCACGATGCCGCCCGTGATGAGGACTGTGGGCAGAGGAGAAGCAGGTTAGTAGAAGCCCCTAAACCATGGGAGAGACATGCCCCCATCCCATCCTTGCAGGGCTAGGGCCCACAGGGGGCCCTAGCCACTTCCCCTTGCGTTCCCCACTCAGGGCCACTACCTTACCACAGAGCTGCCCTGAGTCCGTCAACCCTTTTGGCTAGAAAGGGGACCTAGGCGACTGCAGATACCCACAGATAACGGAGGATGCCTTCCCCTAGGAAGCGGCACGTGAGCTGGGGAGGGGCTGAAGCTGATGGAGCTGAGCCTGTGTCCCTGGAGCTGTTGGAGGGACAGCAGCCTCACAGCCCAGGGCAGGACGAGGGGCCTGGACACTCCTCAGCTCTGTGACCCCATCACTGAGTTTCTGCATTTAAAGACTACAGTGTTGACAGCTGACTTGGGGTCTGCTCTATGGGTGGCCTCTCGTTATTGCATGGTGTTCCTGTTTGTCCCCCTTCCTGTGTTTCAATCTCAGTTTGTCTGATATTGATATTCCTACGCCCTTCTTTGGTTAGGATTTGTCGGCAGTTCCATCCCTTTATTTTCAGCTCTATGTGGTTCTGCTGGACCTTTATCCCCCCAGTAACTTTTTTTTTTTTTGATCCTCACTGGAGGATATTTTTTCTATTGCTTTTCAGAGAGAGTAGAAGTGGGGGAGAGAGAGAGAAAAAGAAACATCGATTTGAGAGAGACACATTGATTGGTTGCCTTCTGCAAGTGCCCCAACCAGGGCAGGGTATTGAGCCTGCAACTGAGGTACATGCCTTTGGCAGGAATTGAACATAGGACCCTTCAGTCCATGGGCTGACGCTCCAACCACTGAGCCAAACCAGCTAGGGCCCCAGTAACTTTTTACTGTGGTAAAATACACATAAAATTTTGTATTTTAGCCATTTTAAAGTAAACAATTCAGTGGCGCTAAGCACCTTCACATTGTTGTGTGTCCATCCCCAGAATTTCTAGCAATATATTGAAGTCTAATTACTACATACAGTATAATATAGAGTCATAAGATTCCCATCATCCCAGAAAGTTCTCTTGTGCCTTGTCAAGTCAGTACTGGAGCTGTAGATCTGGCTTCTTTTGCTCAACAGAAGGTTGTCAAGATCATTCATGTGGTTTGGATGGATTGCTAGCTCATTCTTTTTGTGCAGTTTTCTACTGTATGTACCAAACACAATTTATCTGCTCTTCCGTCTTTGGGAAATTTTGGTTGCTTCCAGTTTTTGGCTATTACAAATAAGCTGATATAGCTGAATTTTTTATATTTTAACCAATTTGATAGTGAATTTAACAGACTTCACTGATTGTGATTGCAGGTAAATGGAACTTTATCTTGTTTTTTCTTTAACAAGTGTTTTTGTTGTTCCTCTGCTGACCTGATTAAACTTTAATTTTAAAATTCCTCTTCCTGAATCACATGTGGGCTTTAGAATGTTTAACTTCAATCTCACCCCCAAATTAGCCATTATTATTAATTATTTACAGTCAATTAATTAATTAATTACAGACTTAGTCACCAATGTCTTCATTCTTGCATCCCAGTCCTTTCTTTGGGATTGATTTAATTTCCCTCTTGCTGAAGTACATTCTTTAGTAGATCTTTCTGTGAGGGTCTATTAGCAGCAACTTTCTGGATACCTGAAAATGCCCTCATTCTGGAATAACAGTTTATCTGGATACTGAATTCATGTTTTTGTCTCAACACCAAAGATATTATTCCGTTGTCTTCTGGCATCTATTATTGATGAAGAGAAGTCTTTTGAAATCAGTCCGATACTAATCCATTTTATTCTCTGGTAAATTTTAAGACATTCTTTAATGGTCTGTATTTTCATTACAATGTATCCAAGAAGGAATTTAAACAAATCCCTTTATTCTGTAAGGAACTTTGTTTTCTCATCAAGTTCTGGAATTTCTTACCCATTATCCCTTTTGCGTTGCCTCCTTCCATTCTATTCTCTCCTCTGGAACTACTATTATATAGATGTTGGGTCTTCTTGTACTACTGTATATGACTCAACTTCTCTCAGCTACATTCTGTGGTTTCCTCAGATCCATCTTCCATGTCACTAATTCTCTCTTCATCTCTATATAGTGTTTAATTCAACCATTAACCTTTAATGACTTTATATTTTAATTTTGGACATCCTATATTAGTCATTTTTTGCATTGTCCTGTATAATCTATTCTTTTATCTCCTTAAACAGTTTTAAACATATTCACAGGTTTAAAGATGTACCCATATCCTCAAGTCTCTTTCTAATGGCACTAGAAGTTCTGGTTCTAAGGAGGTCCTTCTCCGATTTATGGTGTCTGCTTCCTCAAATGGTGGGCATGTTTGTGAGCTGCGCCCAGCAGGGCTTGTCTTCCTGTGGCAGTCTGTGTGCTCTGGTTGAGGAAATACCCTTACAGAAGTTTCACATTTGCCTCTGTCAGGGCCTATGGGCTTCTCCAGTCCTGGATCAAGTTTATCTGAATTTCTTGGCCAGTGGTCCTTGTTGCACAGGGTAGGGTTTAGCCTTCACCCCATGCACAGCACAGGCCTGAGTTTCTGGGGTTTTTGTCTTGTTCATGACTTTCTTCACCAAGTGACAAGCTTCCTTGGATAAGATAGTTTTCTAGTCTGTTTCTTGTACAGGCAGCCTTCCCTGGCTCTCGCCTGAAGTATGCAGCTCTATTTCAGCCCTTTTGTTACAGAGGCCCCAAAATCCCACTTGATAAAAGCCTAAGCTCCTGTTGGTCCCAATTCCCCAGGTGCCCCTTCCTTCCGCCCCAGCCCACCACCTTGAAACCTCACTGTGCTTTTGCTGCCAGCAGATTTCCTATCCTTGGAGTTGGGATCAGCTATGTAATAACTCTTTTGGTTTGCTCATCAGCACTTCTGTGAGTTGGAAGAGGGAAGGGTGGTCTCCCCACCTGTTCTGTCAGCAGGTGGTCTACTTGTCTTTGGGGGTATCATTTTCTCATTCTGAGCCTCAGTTTTGTTGCCTGCCATCAGCAAAACGGGTACAAAGACACCACTGGTTGGCCAGGGAGGCATGAGGGCTGACAGCACTGCTGTGTACTGGGACTCTTACAGGTGCAGGGAACTAGACAAATAAGGCCTGAGCTCTCATGGGCTTATGGTCTCAGAAGGGGACAGAAATAAACATCAGAGTGGTGAACTAGAACAGAGGACTGTGACAGGGATGTCTAGGTGCTCTGGAAAGACTTCTCTGAGTAGGTGATATTTGAGCTGAGAAATAAATGGAGGAGCCAGTCACAGATGCTTCAGAAAGAAGGAAGTGCTTCTGTAAAGGCCCTGGGGTACACCCAGGATATCCAGGAACAGGAAGGAGGCCTCTACAGCTGAAGTGACAGTGAAGGGAGAGGGCAGGGCAGAACAATCAGAAACTGGCTTTTATTCTTCACAATCCACTGCAGTATTTCCAGCAGCAGGTGACATGGTCTGATTAGATGGGATTTTCTGCAATAAAAAAGCCTGTTGGATGCACCTGCTAGTAGGGCCTAGCCAGGCCTGAGCAGTCCCAGATGGCAACAGTTTACTCTGAGACAGGAAAAAAAGTAAGAGGAGGAACTCAGAGGGGAAGGGCCCTGGGAGGCCTTCCAACAAACTGCCTCATTTGAGGGTGGAGGAAATGGAGCCATAGCTTGTAAGTTCTCTAGGACTCGACTTCACTGTCTATGAAGTGGACGTAAGAACAGCACCGGCCTCACAACACTGTGAAGGTTAGCTAAGGTAAGGAAGGGACAGCCTGCACACAGTGGGCAGGCCATGAATGGGAACACTGGGAGGGTCACTATGCACTCACTGGGACTAGAACCCAGGCTTCTCAGAGAACTCCCAGTTTGGTGCCCTCTGTCACTTTCTATTTCCTGGGGGTGGGGAACTGTGGGAGAAAGGGAGGCTGGTCTGCAGCAGTCTAAGGCCTCACAGCCTGTGGCAGGCAAGGGGCCAGCCTGGGGACAGCTCTGAGGAGAAGAGTGATCTGACTCACTGAGTTCTCAGTTAGTCTAAGTATAAAAAGGGGAATTGACCTGCCTGGACACAGAACAGACCACTGGACCTCATGCCCCAAAGCTGCCCACACCAAAACGTGATCTTCCAGTTCAGAGCCACAGGGACTTCATTTATATCTACTCCCTTCCCTCCCAGACCTCTGCTAGGCTCGAGCACCCAGCT